TCATGTACAGAGGTATAGAGAAGTGTAATTAATCCCCATGTACCCATCACCAAGCATCAATAATTATCATCTCTGTCCGAGCCAGGCTTGTTATAGCTACACTGTTCTCCTCATCAACCCCTCTGATTATTTTTCTTATACATATATTATTTAATTTAATCTCTATAAAAAGCCTGTGAATTGGGTGTGTTTTTCTGCTATTACATATAACAAAATGAGTCTTATTGAGATTATGTAGCTTGCCATAGAGTAAATAAATTACATTATGCTGTTGTTGTTAGGTGCCATTGAGTGGATTTCAACTCATTGCGACCCTATCTATGTACAATAGATTGAAACATTGCCCAGTCCTGTGCCATCTCATGATCGTTGTTATGCTTGAGCCCACTGTTGCAGCCACTGTGTCAGTCCATCTCGTTGAGGATCTTCCTCTTTTTCACTGACCCCCTACTTTACCAAGCATGATGTCCTTCTCCAGGGACTGATCCCTCCTGATAACATGTCCAAAGCGTGTGAGACGAAGTTTCACCATCTTCACTTATAAGGAGCATTCTGGCTGTACATCTTCCAAGACAGATTTGTTCTTTCTTTCGGCAGTCCATGGCTTATTCAGTATTCTTTGCCAACACCATAATTCAAAGGCGTCAATTCTTCTTTGGTCTTCCTTATTCATTGTCACGCTTTCACATGCATTTGAGGCGATCAAAAACTCCATGTCTTGGATCAGGCACACCTTAGTCCTTAAAGTGACATCTTTGCTTTTTAACACTTTAACAAGGTCTTTTGCAGCAAATTTGCCGAATGCAGTGCATCTTTTGATTTCTTGACTGCTGCTTTCATGGGCGTTGATTATGGATCCAAGTAAAATAAATCCTTGACAACTTCAGTCTTTTCTCTTTTTACCATGATGTTGCTTATTGGTCTAGTTGTGAAGATTTTTGTTTTCTTTATGTGGAAGTGTAGGCCATACCAAAGGTTGTGGTGTTTGATCTTCATCAGTAAGTGCTTCAAGTCCTCTTCACTTTCAGAAAGCAAGGTTGTATCATTTGCATAACACAGGTTGCTACTGAGTATTCCTGCAGTCCTGATTCCTCGTTCTTCTTCACATAGTTAAGCTTCTCAGTTTATTTGCTCAGTATATAGATTAAAGAAGTACGGTGAAAGGATACAACCCTGACACACGCCTTCCCTGATTTTAAACTGCAGTATCCCCTTGTTCTGTTTGAATGACTGCCTCTTGATCTATGAACAGGTTCCGCACAAGCACAATTAAGTGTTCTGGAATTGCCATTCTTCTCAATGTTATCCATAATTTTTATTATCCACACAGTCAAATGCCTTTGCATAGTCAATAAAACACAGGTAAACATCTTTCTGGTATTCTCTGCTTTCAGCCAAGATCCATCTGACATCAGCAATGATATCCCTCGTTCCATGTCCTCTTCTGAATCTGGCTTGAACTTCTGGCAGCTCCCTGTTAATATACAGCTGCAACTGCTTTTGAATGATCTTCAGCAAAATTTTACTTGCGGGTGATTCTAATGATATTATTTGATAATTTCCACATTCTGTTGGATCATCTTTGGAATGGGCCCAGATATGGATCTCTTCCAGTTGACTGGTCAGGTAACTGTCTTCCACATTTCTTGGCATAGACGGTAAGCACTTCCAGCACTGCATTTGTTTATTGATACATCTCAATTGGTGTTCCGACAATTCCTGGAGCCTTGTTTTTCACCAGTGCCTTCAGTGCAGCTTTGGCTTCTTCCTTCGGTGCCATTGGTTTGTGATCATAGGCTACCTCCTCAAATAGTTGAGTGTGACCAATTCTTTTTGGTACAGTGACTCTATATTGCTTCCATCTTCTTTTGATGTCTCCGGCATCATTCAGTGTTTTGCCTACTGCAACTTGAGACTTGAATTTTTTCTTCAGTTCTTTCAGCCTGGGAAATGCCAATTATGTTCTTCGCTTTCTAATTCTAGGCCTTTGCACATTTCATTATAATACTTTACTTTGTATTCTCAAGCCACTGTTGGAAATCTCTAGTCAGCTCTTTTCATTATTTCTTCCATTTGCCTTAGCTACTCTATGTTCAAGAGCAAGTTTCAGAGTCTCTTCTGAAATCAATTTTGATCTTTTCTTTCTTTCCTGTCTTTTTAATGACCTTTTGCTTTCTTCATGTATGAAGTGTTTGATGTCATCCCGCAGCTCGTGTCGTCTTCGTTCATTAGTGTTCAGTGGATAAAATCTGTTCTTTAGGTGGTCTCTAAATTCATGTGGCATATACTGAATGTGATACTTTGGCTCTCGTGGACATTTTTTAATCTTCTTCTGCTTCAAGTTGAGGATGCATAAGGATCAGTTGATGGTCTGAACCTCAGTCAACCCCTGGCGTTGTTCTGATTATATTGAGCTGCTCCATAGTCTCTTTCCACAGATATAGTCAATTCAATTCCAGTGTCTTCCATCTGGCAAAGTCCATGTTTATAGTCCTCATTTATGTTGTTGAAAAAAGATATTTCCATTGGTCTTGTAAAATTCTATCATGTGATTTCCAATACCATTTTTATCACTAAGGCTGTTTTTTCCAACTACCGATCCTTCCTTTTTATTTCCACCTTTTGCATTCCAGTCACCAGTAATTATCACTGCATCTTGATTTCATATTTGATCAAATTCATACTGCAGAAGTTGGTAAAAATCTTCGTCTTTGACATTAGTGGTTGATGATTAAATATGAATAGTAGTCGTATTAACTGGTCGTCCTTGTAGGCATATAGATATTAATGCTAGCACTGACAGCATTGTACTCCAGGATAGATCTTGAAGTGTTCTTTTTGGTGATGAACGTGATGCCATTCCTCTTCAACTTGTCATTCCTGGCATAGTAGACCATATGATTGTTCAAAGCAAAATGGCCAGTACCGGTCCATTTCAACTCGCTAATGCCTAGGATATTGGTGTTTTATGCATTTCATTTTTGTCAACTTCAATTTTCCTGGATTCATACTTCCTATGTTCCACATTCCGATTATTAATGGATGTTTGCAGCCGTTTCTTCTCATTTTAAGTCATGCCACGTCAGCAAGCGAAGATCCTGAAAGCTTGAGTCCATCTATGTCATTAAGGTCGATTCTACTTTGAGAAGGCAGCTCTTCCCCAGTCGTATTTTGAGTGCCTTCCATCCTGAGGGACTCATTTTCCGGCTTTATATCAGTGTTTCTCTCCTATTGACAAGGTTTTCACTGGTCAGTTTCTTTTTAGAAGTAGATTGCCAAGTCCTTTTTCCTAGTTTGTCTTAGTCTGGAAGCTCAACTGAAACCTGTCCACCATGGGTGACCCTGCTGGTATTTGAAGTACTGGTGGCATAGTTTCTAGCATCACAGCACCATGCAAGCCACCACAGTACGCCAAACTGACAGACCAGAGGTGGGCTTTAAATTAAAAAAAAAGAAAATTAGTAAAATTTGTTTATTCTTAAAAATATTTTTACATTTTCCCATTCTTATAATTATTTGTGTATATGAGTTGTTTTTCCTATCAGAGTTTGAAGTTCTCATGGGGAGAGAGATACTTTATGTGAGTCTTTGTGGTCTTTAGAAAGTCTCTTTTTGTATCTCAGCTTTTGTATAAAGGAGATAATAATGTAACTATATTGTAGGAGTATTGTGTGTCTTAAATAGGTTAGTTTATATTACATGCCTAGAACAGTGTGTTATGTATATTATAGTACAGTGTACAATGCTTTATATATAGTAGGTGTTCAGTAAAGTATTTGGAATGTTGATGAATGAATTAAACTGAACATTATTCTCAATTTTCATAGAGATTAATTAATATAACTATAAACTGTAGACTTTTCTACATTCAGTGTTGACTTATTTGTTTTTGGTGAGTGTATACCCAGCCAAAAATATACTGTTTTAACAGTTTCTACATGTACAATTCAGTGGCATTGATTACGTTCTTCAAGTTGTGCTACCATTCTCGCTATCGTTTTCCATATGTTAAGCCACCGTTATATTAAACTCACTGCCCCCTAAGCTTTCCATCCAACTTTTTGAATTGCCTTCATCAATTTGTTCTCACATAGATAATTCTTTAAAAGAGCACAAACTCAAAGCAGACATACTTTACTAGTTAAGATAAACTATTTTTTTGTTTAATGAAGACTTCAAGGAATAGTTTTGGTTTAACATTTAAAGTCATATATTATTTCAGGAAGTATTTTTTGAGGTATCCAGCCTCATTCGCTCCAGAAAGTCTAGATTCCCTTGAGAATTTGTAATATTTTTCCACATTTTTCTCCCTTTACATCAGGATTCTTCTGGTGTCACGGCAGAGGAGTTATCTACAACCAGTATTTGTTCATTTGTGTTTTTCATCTATTCACTCATTCATTTAAGAAATAATAATTGAGTGTCTCCTATGTACTAGACACTGGTGCCAAGTGTTGGAGATACAGTGGTGAATGAAGATTATGTCTGCCCATAAGGAGCTTACATAAATATTCTGTTACTAATTGAAATATGAGTTCTATAAAAGAGAATAATGGAAATGAGCCTATATTAGCATATATTACATTAGCTTTTCCTGTTTGAGAATAAGTCTAAAGAATTCTCTTTGGTCAACTAAATTGTTGCATCTTTATTTTGCTTGCTTTAGAAATAACTAGAATATCAGCCATTGTGTTCAGCATGATAGCTTTGGCTGCCAACATTGTTATTCCTAACAATAACAATAATCAGTGACTATCCTTACTTCATGTTAATGAACTTTTTGGCATCTCTTAGATCCCAAAAGTAATGTTCTTAAAGTATTGTTTCAAATTATAGTTCTATTTATATAGTGATTACTGTAAAATTAGCTTTATTGAGAATACAAATATGAATTGAATTCCATTTTTATAGTTAGGAGGGTGGCTTTAAAATTTGCAAATTCTTGATTTTAATATTTGTGATTTCGTATTTAGGATTGTTTCTGTTTCTCTACATATTAGGTATTAACTCCACAAAAACTGGAATTGTTAAGAGCCCAAATACAACAAGAATTAGAAACTCCAATGAGAGAGCGTTTTCGGAATCTAGATGAAGTAAGTAATTCATTTAGAAAAGCCATGCATTTATTTTCATGTGACTGTAAGGCTTTATGAAAAGCATTGTTTTCCTGCTCAAACACCCTGCAGTATCTCCCGTTCTTTCTCAGTCCTAATAGTGGCCTCTGAGCCCCATCACTTTTCTGATCTCCTTTCCTCCAGCTAGAAACCCTGGTGATGTAGTGGTTAAGAGCTATGGCTGCTGACCAGAAGATTGTCTGTTCAAATCCACCAGGTGCTCCTGGAAACCCTATGGGGCAGTTCTACTCTGTCCTGTAGGGTCACTATGAGTTGGAATCAACTTGATGGCAGTGGGTTTTTGTTGTTTATCCTCCATCCACATTGGACTCCTTGATGTTTCTTTGATTTGTTGGTAATGGGGCAGTTAAAGACTTTTTGCTCTGTTACTTGTGCCTTAAACACTCTTCCTTCAGATGCTGCTTGGCTAACTTCCTCATCTCTTTTAAGTCTTTGCTAAAATGTCAACTTCCCTACAACTGCCACAGCCACCACTGACTGCTCTGACAGGGGTCACAATAGAGGGTCCTGGACAGAGCTAGAGAAGAATGTAGAACAAAATTCTAACTCACAAAAAAAGACCAGACTTACTGGCCTGACAGAGACTGGAGAAACCCCGAGAGTATGGCCCCCGGACACCCTTTTAGCTCAGTAATGAAGTCACTCCTGAGGTTCACCGTTCATCTAAAGATTAGACAGGCCCATAAAACAAAACGAGACTAAATGGGCACACCAGCCCAGAGGCAAGGACTAGAAGGCAGGAGGGGACAGGAAGGATGGTAATGGGGAACCCAAGGTCGAGAAGGAGAGTGTTGACATGTTGTGGGGTTGTTAACAAATGTCACAAAACAATATGTGCACTAATTGTTTAATGAGAATCTAGTTTGTTCTGTAAACCTTCATCTAAAGTACAACAACAAAAAAAAGAAAAAAAGAAAATGTCACCTTCTCACTGAGGCCGACTTTGACCTTCCCCTCTGCCCTAATTTAATACTGCAGCTTGTCTTTTTATCACTGCTTAGACCTCTGGATTCTCCCCTGCCTTGCTCTAATTTTTTATCTTTTCTCTGGTACTTATCATCTCATATGCTATACAACTTACTTACATATTAGTGTTTATTGTTTCTTTTCTGTTTTGTTCCCTTTAGAAAGTAAGCTCTATGACAGGTGGAACCTTTATCTGTTTTGCTGTTACATCCAAAGTTCATAGAGCAGCTCCTGGCATGTAGTAGTTTCTCAGTTAATATTTGTTGAGTGAAAGAATGAATTTTCTAGAACAGTTCCTGGCATATAGTAGTTTCTCAGTGAATATTTGTTGAGTGAAGGAAAGAATTTTATGTAAAAATTTTTTAGTTTTACTTCAGGTTGAGACCAGTCTCCTAATAAGAAATGTTGGTATAATATGTCTAAATGTTTATTACGGGTACAGGAAAAGATTGTAAATATTAAGTATATTAGGTACTATGCTAGACGTTTTATGTATGTTACCTTATTTGACAAATATACCAGGCCTTGTACATACAATTGAGTATTGTCCGTTTCAGATGAACTCCTTTGGGAAGCTGTAGTCTCGTGATGTTGCCATTGTACGAAACAATTATGGAATACCTCTTTTATAGTGGCTTACTGGGTTGGTAATATATTTTGAATATCCTTTATTGTGGCAATTTATTCATAGCCAAGGTAGATGATCAAGCTAAGTAAAAAGATTAAATAAAAGAAAAAAAATCAAAACAAAGTAGGTTTCTAATGAAATCATGAAACCCATTTTCCCAGTTTGTAAACTGGCCTCGAAGAGAAATCTTTGAACTGAAAATTACAGGGGCCTGAGTATTTCAGGAGACATGCTTTCCTCATTACCTAATTTCTGATGCATATTGAAAATACTCTTTGTCTTAGGCTGGGTTTCTCTAGAGAAGCAAAACCGGTAAAGCGTATAAATATATATAGAGAGAGATTTATATCAAGGAAACGGCTCATGCGATTGTAGAGGCTGGAACGTCCCAAGTTTGTGGATCAGGATAGAGGCTTCTCTCGATTCACATAGCCACAGGCTGGTGAACCCAAGATTGGCCAGTCAGAGAACAGGGCTCTTGCTCACAGGCTGTGAAAATCAGTGAATCCCAAGATTGGCAGATAAGCTGATAGCTCAAGTCTCGAGAACCGGACAGGAGGCAGCCATAGGATCCAGTGTGAGCAAAAAGCCAGAACGTCTGCTTATATTTGGATGCAGGCCACACCCCCAAGGAAACTCCCTTTCAACTGATTGACTACTCACAGCAGATTCTGTCATGGACTGATCACATATAAACACTAAGAACCATGGCCCAGCCAAGGTAACACACAATCTTAACCATCACACCTTCTCTCCTGCATCTTTCTGCTCTATTGCCCAGGTCGTTTTGAGTATTCAGAATGTCAGCAACTTTTGTAGAGTGTTAGGAAGCAGGATCCGAGCACCCCAGGGATTGTATGTGATCCCTGTTAGTCAAGAGAGTTGGTGCTCCGTATGTTATTCAGGCTGATGTGTTGAGTTCAACTATTGTTGTAATATTTAATTGAAACTTAAGTTACTATACTAAATATTAAAATAATTTTTTATCTACTTTGAATTAATCTGGTCCAACTTTTAGGGAGGTAGTTCATACTTTATTATAAAATTATTTTTTTCATCTGACTATATTATTTGGAAAGGTGTGCTGCATTCTTAAATATTATTTTATTAAGCCCAGAGGTCAAAACTTTTGGCATACTGTACATTTTTATTTAACATGATTCAGTGAAGACATAAGGTTACCTGAATAGTAATTTGTTGTATTGGCACCTTCTCAGGAATATACTAATTCTGTATGTAGGATAGTTGTCATGAGAACTTTTCCAAGGTTCATTTATGTTCCTGTGAAATTTGTTTATTTATTTAGAGTGGCTGTTGTTATAATTTAAAATTTTATTTGCAAAAGTGGTTTTTTGGAGTAACTAGATTTCATTTATACATTTGTGAAAAACTGCAATCTGCTTTTAATTTAGGAAGTGGAAAAGTATAGAGCTGAATATAATAAGCTTCGTTATGAACATACATTTCTCAAATCAGAATTTGAACACCAGAAAGAAGAATTTGGACGTATTTTAGAAGAAGGAAAAATAAAATATGAGTCAGAGGTGAGTGATTGATTATACTAATCTAGTCATTATCGTTCCAGTCAATAAAATTTCAAGATTATATATTTTTGTAAGTCCCAAATTAGAGTTGATTGCATCATCAAGTTTTATTAATTAGTTGTGAAGTATTTGTCACAAATTGCATCTGCTCTGTGGCAACATTTTTCTTGTGAATGTTCTGTTTTGGCTGTTAGACTTTTCTATTTCTTTCTTCCTTTTTTTGCCCCAGCCAATGGAGATGGGCAACTGTAGGGATTTCCTTCTTGCAGAGTCTCCTTTCTGCCATAGCCACGGAGACAGACTTCTCTTTGCAAATATAGTTTGTCTGTGTGATTCTTTATTTAGCACTTCCCCCTCTGCTTCTTGGAACCAAACCACATCCAGGAGAGCTCTAGTTGCCAGCCTATGCATCTTCTTTCCACTGATATAAACAAGGAGTTTATACCTTAGGGTGTGCCCATCACCTTCGTAAGTGTACTTTGTTCTTTTTGACACCTGCTACTGCAATGTTCTTTATCTGTGGCCTACTTCATTCACTCCTACTCTATCTCCATTGCTTTTGGCAGCCGTTCTACTTATTTTGTGGTTTGTCTCCTAGTTTTGCCAGCAGTGGAGCTTATTATGTTTTTGTTTTTCATCATGTTGCTTTTCGATGATTTTTCAGGATGGAAAGAGAGAAATACCAATTTTATCCTTCTGTATTCAAATCAGAAATCTAATTCAAGTTTAAAGTTTTTAAAAAATAGCTTAGTATCTAGCTGTGTGATACACACTATATACAAATATACCCATATTATTTATTGTATTATCTTTATTTGAAATTAAGCCTTAAAATCTACTTACCTTCTTTTAACAGTTACTAAATACGTATAGTGTTCTAGGCATCTAATAAAAACTAAAATTGTTATTTGGATCAGACTGATTTATTTTCATCAGTGAGTAAACTATTCTGTGATTAATATGTAAGAAGCTGTATGAACTTTGGATCATTTGAGTCTGTTAACAATATAAATCACCCTCCCCACCAAAAAAAAATTCTGACTCATAATGACCCTATAGGACAGAGTAGAACTGCCCCATAGGGTTTCCAAAGCTGTGATCTTTCAGAGTCAGACTGCCACACCTTTCTCTCGTGGAGTGGCTGGTGAGTTTAGACAGCGGGCCTTTTGGTTAGCAGCCCAGCGCTTTAACCACTGACTTTCTATTAACAATATAGTACCAGTAAACTATATGTGTAATAGACTTTTTCATTTTTAAAATTCTTTAGAGTTTTAAACGCTTTATATATTATCTCACTTGTGTTACAGTAGTGAGATGGGCAGGACTGTATTTATTTTCTCCATTTTTAAATGATGAAACTGAGGTGTAGGATAAGTGACTTGCTCAGACTTACAGAAAGTCAGCAGCCAAGTTAATGGTAGAACTCAGGTATCCCAACTCCTAGCCTAGAGTTTTAAGTTTGAAATTACCAGTGATTTGAAGTTGTCCCTCTAATTAGGGGCCATCCAACAACTGTAATTTTGTCAAGAGGTCAGTTGATCTATACTAATATGATTATAAAAGACTGTGAATCTGAATTATGACAGACTTAAAGGAACCACACGTAAAGCATTTTGTTGTGGAAAATAGGAATTATGAAGATCTCCAGCCTAAAATGAAGAGCACATGGTTAAGTGTTTGGCTGCTAACCAAAGGACACAATTTGAATCCATCAGCTGCTCCTTGGAAACCCTACGGGGCAGTTCTGCTCTGTCCTCGGGTGTCGCTATGAGTCGGAATTGACTCGATGACAGTGGGTTTTTTGGTTTACTGGGAAGTTACTATAAATAAAGTGGTGGTTTATTTTATACTTTGCTTTTAAAATCTAATGATGATGTTTATCTGGTAACAATTATTTGTAATCTCTGGTTTCTTAGTTTTGTTTTCTTAAAGAAGGAAACTGCATTTTAAATCTGATGACTAATCTATTTTTTCACCTGTGAAAGACCAAATGCTATTCATTAAAATTTTTAAAGGGTCAATAGCATCATTAATTTTCATAATTGGAATCTCTTATAACATTCTTAAGGAATCTGAAGATAAGCTGCTAACTAAGAAGTCATAATTAGTAGAAGCCAGAAAAGTAAAACTTTCTGATAAGATTGAAGTTCTTTTCCTTCTACTTCCCAGTTGATTTTTCAGAAGCATTATTAATTAGTGGATAACTGAGCATTTGCTTTAGTTCCATCACTTATCTTTATACTCTAGTTTCTATACACAGTAACAGTAAAATGCAATGAAGTGATTGTGAATCAGGGCACAGCAGAAAAATGTCAAGGTAGAGCCTACTCTTGCCATCATCAGATTCTACAGTTTCAACTACTATAAAATATATTAATTTGTTGTAATAAAAATAGTTGGAATTTCTTGCATTAATTAAGGACTCATGCCATGCTTGTGCATTTTTACTTCTACAGATTGAAGAAATAACTGAACATTCTTTAGTGTTTTGGCTTTTAGGGAAATACTTTAGGAAGACTTTGCTAGTGTTTTCCTGAGAAGTGCTCCAGGAATTCATATCTCTTTCATGATATTCTGAATAAAAAACAATATATGAAAGAATATATCTTTATTTTATGAAAAAGATAACGCCATGATTTCTCAATGCATTTTCTCTAAGAATGTAATTAAGCTTTATACAGATGAAATTCTGAAGTTATACACACACATTATTCAAAAGTGATACTATTCTGTTTTCTTTGTTATTAGAACTTTAATTTTATATTATTTTGAAAATAATGAGGAATAATACAGGGAGGTTTAGGTATAGGTAATTATGCTGGTAGACTGAGTGAAAGAAGCAAGGGTAGTTCATTGGGGAGGTATTAAGATCTCAGGAGAAAGGCAGGGAGCACTGCATCATATGAAAAACTATCAAATTAACAATATATAATGACAAGTCACTGATATTCTTCCATCATGCTCTTCAAACTGACTGAGTTTTTCCTTGGCTTTTGTGGTTTGTTACTGTGGGCAGGCAAAAAGCCAGAGTTCCCATGGCATAAAGGAGAACTTTTCTGGGTCCCTGTTATCACATGCTGTTTCTTTCTTACAGCACTGATAGCACAAAGCTGATAAAGTACCTCTAGATTTGATTCTCATCCTGATACGCGTGTTAGTAGACACCATGAAACCTCTCAAAACACTTCCTTTTTATCCTGGGAAGTTCTAATCTGGAGTGCTTCTTCAGGTCTAGATGGTTCCTTTATCTAAAGTGTTCCAGATTCTCCAACCTGCACTCTTCTGAGATTACTGTGAACCACATACAAGAGACAGAAGTCTCCCAAATTACAATTTAATTACCTCACACCTGGAATTCTCTGGGATTGATTTTGGCAGCCTTTTAGAAGGGCTTTGTGAATGTTTAATTCTTTATTCAGTTTCTTTCTTTATTAAACTTTATTACAGTTTCCTGTGCCAGAATGCAGTTTAGCAGTTGAGCACTTGACCACTGTGCCATCAGGGTTCCTGCAAACTTTTTACATCTAAAATAAATATTTTAAAATGTTTATGTATTTATTTAGTGTGAGCTTTGGAACTGACTTAATTTCTATGTGTGTCAGAACTGCACAGATATCCTAATCTGTGAGATAATGTTAATAATAGCACCTACTTCATGGAGTGTTGTTAGGATTTAATAAACTAAAATCTAAAGTGCTTAGACAAGTGCCTGGCACATAGTAAGCCTTCAGTAAATGGTAGCTGTTGGTGGCGTAAGGAGCTCTGGTGCACAGTGGTTAAGCACTTGGCTGCTAACACAAAGGCTGCTAACACAAAGGTTGGCATTTCAAACCCACCAGCTGCTCTGCAGGAAGAAGAGGTGGCAGTCTGCTTCTGTAATGATTGCAGCCTTGAAAACCCTGTGATCAGTTTTACTGTCCTTTAGGGTCACTATGAGTTGAATCGACACCATGGCAGTGAGTTTGGTTTATTGGTGGTGTAAACAGTTTGCTCTGTACTACTAACCTAACTGGAGCCCTGGTGGCGCAGCAGATAAGAGCTCAGCTGCTAACCAAAAGGTTGGCAGTTCAAATCTACCAGCCGCTCTTTGGAAACCCTGTGGGGGCAATTCTGCTCTGTCCTGTAGGGTCACTATGAGTCGGACTTGACTCGACAGCAACGGGTTTGGTTTGGTTTTGGAGCCCTGGTGGTGTAATGGTTAAGAGATTGGCTGCTAACCAAAAGGTCGGCAGCTCAAATCCACCAGCCACTTGTTGGGATCCCTGTAGGACAGTTGTGAGTTAGAATCATCTCAATGGCAACGGTTTGGGGTTTTTTTGGTACTAACCTAAAGTTTGGTGGTTTGAATCCACCCAGCAGCGCTGTGAAAGAAAGGCCTGGTGATCTGCCTCTGTAAAGATTTCAGCCAAGAAAACCCTATGGAGCAATTCTACTCTTTAACACATGGGGTTGCCATGAGTTGGGATCAACTTAATGGCAATGAGTTTTTTTTGTTTTTTTTTTAAATCTACATCTGTGTATATATCTTACTGGTTCTGCTTCTCTAGAGACTCCTAAGACATAGAGTGTTCTCCAACCATAATAGAATCAAACACGTAGTCAGTAACAGAAAGATAGTAGGAAAATCTTCAACACCTGGAAACAGAATGACATACTTCTAAATAATTCATGGGTTAAAGAGGAAATTTCCAGGGAAATAAAAAATATGTGAACCTAAATGAAAATGTAATATATCAAAATGTTTGGGACACAGCTAAAGCAGTACTGAAAGGGAAATTTAGTATAGCAGTAAATACATACATTAAAAAAGAGGAAAAGTCTCAAATGAATCATCTAAGCGCATCTCAGGAATCTGTCTCAGACAAAGAAGAGCAAAATAAATCTAAAGAAAGCAAACAAGGGAAATAATTAAGAGCTGAAATCATTGAAATTGAAAACTGAAAAACAATAGAAAAATCAAGGAAACAAAGGGTAGGTTCTTTAAAAGATCAATAAAATTG